TCCTTTTGTTTCAGAAATAAGTCCTATTTGATCATGGTGAACGATCTTTTTAATGTGCTGCCGAATTCTGCTTGCTATTTTCTGAGAGTTTTTGCATCTATATTCATCAAGGATATTGGCCTATAGTTTTCTTTTCTGGTAGTATCTTTTTCTAGCTTTGGTATCAGGGTTATGCTGTCCTTGTAAAATGAGTTTAGGGGTGTTCGGTCCCCTTTGATTTTTTGAATGAGTTCAAGAAGGACTGGTATTAATTCCTCTAATTCCTTACTGATTCTCTATGCGAATGATCCACCCATTGTTGAGAGTGGGGTATTAAAGTTCCTAATTATTATATTTATGTTTATTTCTTCTTTTAGCTCTATCAGTTTTTGCTTTATATATTTAGGTGCATAAATATTTATATATCTTCTTGGTGAATTGACCCTATTGTATAATTTTCTGTCCGTTATTATAGTCTTTGTTTAAAGTCTATTTTGTCTGCTACCCTGTCTTTGTTGTTGTTGTTGTTACCGTTTTCTTGAAATCTTTTTTCATCCCTTTTCTCTATTTGTGTGTTTAAAACTATAGTGAGTCTCTAGTAAGTGGCATATTATTGGGTCTTTTTTTTTTTTTTTTTAGCAGTTCATCCATTCCATCTGGCTATTTTGTAGATCCATTATTCCTTGTTTCTTATCCTGCTGTCTTTTTCTGTGTTTTGATGTCTTTTGGTATCAGTATGCATTGACCTCTTTTTCAGGTTCTTTTGTGTAATTACTACAGGTTTTTCCCTTGTGGTTACCATGAAGCTTACATAAAATATCTTGAGGTTATAATACTCCATTTTAAACTGATAACAACTTAACTTCAATTGCACTCCTAAACTTTAAACTTATACTTTGCCTCTCACATTTTAGGTTATTCATATCACAGCTTACATATTTGTTAAATATATGGTAACTAATAAGATTATTGTAGATATTATTTCACTACATTTTAAATCTTTTAAACTAGAGTTGTAAGTGCATTATGGACCATTACAATATTATAGAATCTAATTTTGTATATTTACTATTACCAGTGAGTTTTATACTACTTTCTATGTTTTTATGATAATTAGCGTCCTTTTACTACCACCCAAAGAACTCCTTTTAGCATTTCTCATAAGGCAGGTCTAGTGGTGACAAACTCCCACAGCTTTTGTTTGTTCAGGAAAGTCTAGCCCTCCTTCATTTCTTAAAGACAGCTTTGCCAGGTATGGAATTCCTGATTGAGTATTTTTCTTTCAATATTTTGAATATATCATCCCATTCTATCCTAGCCTGAAACATTTTTGTGTAGAAAACATCAACAGTCTTATGGAGATTCCTTTGTATGTAACTTTTTAATCTTGCTGCTTTCAAAATTATTTCTTAGCCTTTGATTTTTCACAATTTAATGATAATGTGTCTCAGTATATCCCTATTTAGCTCAATCTATTTGGAGTCTATTGGCCTCATGAAGAGTGATCTGGGAAGTTTTCAGCCATTATTTTAAATACTCTTTCCATCCCTTTTTTCTTTCTGGAATTTCCGCAATGCATATATTATTTCTTTTGACAGTGTCCTGTTATTTTCATAGGCTTTCTTCATTCTTTCTCATTACATTTTCTCCTTTTTGCTCCTCTGACTGCATAATTTCAAATGTCCTCTCTTTTAGGTCACTATTTCTTCTGCATTGTCAAGTCTGCTTTAGAATCTATTGAACTTTTCAGTTTACTCATTGTAATACTTTTCAGCTCTAGGAATTTTTTTTTTTTTTTTGGATGGTTTCTATTACTTAGTTGAATTTCTTGTTTTGTTCATGCATTGTTTCTCTAATTCATTTAGTTGCCTGAGTGTTCTCATGGTTCACTTAATATCTTTGAGGATTATTCTGAATTTTTGACATTTCACAGATCTCCATTTCTTTAGGGTCAGTTATTAAAGCTTTAATGTTTCTCTTGGTGTCATGTTACCTGATTTTTTATAAATCTTAGTTCCTTATGTTGGTATTTGTGTATTTGCATAATTTCCTCTTCCAGACTTCATAGGTTTCCTTTGGCAGAGAGTTCTTCACCAGTAAGGTCAGTTTGGGTTTCTGGGTGTGTCTGCTGGTAACATCCTTGGTGTGGTAGGGCTTGCTATCAGGGCCTATTTATGAGTCAGTCTACTGCTTGAGCTCTGAGCTGAGTGGCAGGAGAAATGCTGCTGAGAACCATTGGATAAGACTACTGGTTCTCTGCCCAAGCAAGTTTGCCTGGGTTCTCCAGTCAGAATTACTAGATGGTCAGGATTGGATACTATACTCAGCAGTAGATGGGTCTATGAATTAGCTTCTCTGCCCTGGTGTGGTAGCAGTTTAGGACCCAAGGCATGTACAGCTTGTTGACTGGGTGTGCACTAATCAGACAAGGTTGTGCATTAAATTCCCTGGCCAGACAAGGTTACCAGTTTTGTTCTGCAGATGGAGAAAGCTACTGGCTGTGCTCTCTGTTTGAGTTCTAGGTAAGAGGAACTGTTGGATGGGCCTCACAGATTCACATGTGCTCTGGTTAAGTTCCTTGGTTGGGCAGGCTGAAAGCTGTAGTCAGCAATCAGTGGAGTTGCAAATTAGTTTCCCTGTCCAGGCAGTGGGAGAACCAGCTCCACAGACAGTAAGGGTCTTTATTTATGGTCTGGACTGCAACTCAAGCTGACCCGCAACTCAAGTTCCCTGGCCAAACAGGGCTCCTGGCTTTGCAGACTTATTAACTCTTGCCTGCTGATCTCTCTGCTCAAGTATTGATGAGAGACTTAGCTTTCCAAAAGTCCAGCAGGCTTTCTGGCAGGGCAGGGAGCTTCACTCAGTGGTAGGTGGGAATATTCTCAGTTCCCCTCAGGGGAGGGCCTGCTCAGAGCAGTCTCTCAGGTTTTTCCCAGTCAGGCTTTCGTGTGGGAAAGG